ATCCACTGTGTAAAATGAGCAATAAAGTGTATTAGAGTGTTTGAGGGATTCTAACTTCTCAACTTTAGAATCATATTTCAAGAGTTCTACCCACTCATCAGGACAGTTTTAGATATTACAGAGCGGCTCCTCACATTGGTTCTTGCCAGGATTTAATAGATGAAAGGCTATGGTTTCTGGAGAAAGAAATATGGAAGGTCCCAAGCTCTTCAAATCACTCCCTTTTTACAGTTCTTTTATTTCATCTCCAGTCCTTAATGACACATCACATGCAAATGAGAGCGTGGTGTCTGGGAGCGCATTCCGTAGGAGTCATTTTTCACCATTTCCCAAAAAAACAGAGCATTAAAAAAGTCAAGCGAGACAGTGTAGCTGTAGGCAACGCAATGCATCAAATTGGTTTACAAACCACACTCAGAGTTTTAAGTTACATAAAATACAAAACAACCCCATTAAATTCAACATAAAACTAAAATAATACAGCTTCTAGAGGCGTTTGAAGCAAGGGGGATGATACTTTCCTCCATATGACTGGTAAGCAGTGTAAGCAGTTACTTGATGAGATGACTAGCATAAGCATGACTTTAACTATTAATTGCCAGGCCTGATTCACAAAAGCCTTTAGGCACATGCAAACCATCAGAAAGAGAGTGTGAATGGCTAATGTATCATATCAGGCCTTGTAATTTGACTATTTGTATAAGTAAAAGTCTTAAAATATCTTGTGATTTCACCAACTAGCTTTTTATCTTATTATTATCATTATCATTATTATGTTTGATGCAAGACATACACACCTTTGACATATCTAATTGAAAATGTTGCATTATGAATTAAAGCTGTTGTATTTGAAACTGACAGAAAGGAAAGCTAATGTGTCTGCTGCTAGGAAGCTAATTTCAAAATAGCTAAAAAATGGCTGGTTAATTGACTTATCACAAAGCTTTGTGTCCGAGCTAACAAATACATGATAAAATAGCTCATTTAATAATACAGTATGTGATAATAAAGAACAATGAGTGGCCAGAGGATTGTTAGCAGAAGCAAACACACATAGTGCCAATGCTTCAGATACCACTTCCTCTCAGCCTCAAGGACATGTATCATCTCATGTGGCGACATTAAGAAATCAATCTCAAAACACTACAGCGATATTTGATTCCAGCCTTCCCGACTCACTTGGCATGACTCAAATTGTGCTTGGCCATTGTAAATATATTAAAAGCTGGAAAGGAGCCTAAATAGCAGCATAAGGGGAGGGAAGATCGATCCAGTTGACAGATCAGAGAGCCCTCATGGGCATCTCAGGGAAAAGGGGCGATGTGCTACTACAGGGTGAGAGCTGCCAGATTAAGACAGGCTGAGGAGATAGAGAACAGGGCACTTTACAAGGCATCTCTGCAGGAGAGGAGGGATTTAGGACAGATAAAGTGTGAAAAGTGCGATGTTCTCAGCAGGCTAGAACTACTCTAAATCTGTGATTCACGTATACCGAGGTCAAGGAACAGAAGCATTGCTGTATTACTGGAGGATTTGTAGAGGTAGAGCGATGGGTTGTATCTGATGGCAGGAAAAACGTCCCAGCAGAGCCGTTTTCCCAAAGGTAACAGACAGGTCTGGTTCGGAAGCCGGTTTATGGTTAGACTCCAAGCTTAATAAGTCAATAATCAGTGACTTCCCGTTTAAACGGACAACTTGATGTCTCACTTGGATTCTCGTCATATTGACTGACAACTGGATCACAATTCGGTTTAGGGGGAAAGCCTTTATAATCCTTATCGGCAATTAGAACAACTCATAAAAACACTTCCTTTTCCTTCTCTACCCATTTCCCTCTTCCCATCAGTTGTCCTCCTCTAGTTCAACACGTCTGGTGTCCCCTTGAGAGAGACTACAGATTTTATGAGATAGGTGTTTGTGAAGCTGGAATACTTTTCTGTTTCGGTTGCGACCCAGGTCTATCCACTAAGCGAAAGCAAAATGAGATAAAAGTGGACTAAAGGTGTTTCGGTAAGTAAAACTTCATTATGGAAAAACATTTATTCCTATAGGAGCGGTTGCTGGGGATGTGCCGATCGTCAAGTTCATTTCCAGGCTAGGTAAGTCAGTTCTAAGCTGTGCCCGAGGCTCTGCCTTTATTCTGATACTGTACGTCCCATGGAGACAGCAGCTCTCAACACCAGATCTAGAATGCTTTAGAGGGATGTTTACATCTTTATCTCATCATATGAAAGTCTGTATGTGCATAAGTCTTGAGTTTTAGGAGGATGTTTGTTTCCTTATCACACTTGACTGTAGAAACATGCCTGTGCATGTATGCTCTAGATCTATCTATCTATCGAGAAAAGCTACATTAAATCAGAAATTATGTGGAAAATTACTGCATTAGTTTAAAAATAATATAAACATTTATAACTCTAGTCGGTGAATGATTACAAACATAATAATGCAAATATATATTTTAAAAGTATGTGAAAAGAAAAAAACAAACAAACGAAAGAAAACTCAAACAGCCTTTAGGGTCATCTGCCATCACATTAAGATTAAGTTCGTGTCCTTGAACAGCAAAATAGCACTAGCTTCAAAATGCATGCGCATCAAATCACCCGTACATGTCAATATTTCTCCATAAGTCACAAAAGCCCATAATTCAGTGCATGGATACTCATCTTAGAGCATCCCAGGTTGAGTCCTCCCTCATTCAGCCCGCTCACCGGCCTCTCTCTTCCCCAGCAGACCCGCTGACTGAACGATCTCGCTCCGGTGTGATGCTTTGAGTGGAGCAAGCATCTCTCTCTCTCTCTCTTCTCTCTCTCTCTCTCTCTCATCCGGGATGCTGCAATGATGTGTGGTACCTGTTAACGCTGCCCTCTTCCGGCCACTGCGAGGAACTGTAATCACACCACAGTTGCGTAACGCCGTCACCAAGCGGCTATTGTCATGACAACAAACGTGAACATAAATACATTTTGAAGCTAAATTACTGGGTTTTAAAAGCGTAAAGCCATCTAATTAAACAAAATGCAATTGATTTAAATAAATAAATATGGTATAACAATAAAAATAAACAAATTCCAAAATGTATTTTATTTACAGTATCATCAAGTTTAAACAGTAGGTACAGTCATTTACAGTGCAGACATACGTTAAACCACTCCAGATGGGTAATGTTATACTGAATGGGCCACATTTGAAATGGTCCAAAAATAAACACACAAAATGACAAAAACACCTTTAGAATGAAGCAGGTGATGTAATAACACGTTTAATTTTTTTTATTGCATAATTTCTTTCTCTTTTCTTTTTCTAATAGTATTTAAATAAGCAATATTGGATAAATCTCAGATGGTACTTTTCTGTTAGTTATCATTACTTGCTTGTCTCATTACAAATGTATTATTTATTTTTTATCTAACCAGCCGATATATATATATATATACACACACACACACACACACACTGTTGAATTACATTTCAAGAGGTCAAAACAACCATGTGAAATGTTTTCAACTAACATACAGGAACGTTATTGCATATTATAAGAAGAAAATTTAGTCTACTAAAACCTATGTAAATAAAAGGTGAACAAGGCCTCTGCACATGCGTAATTGTTTTCAGCATTATAAAGAGCAAGATTTGCTATTTACAAATCATTTACTCCATGGAATATAAAGATAGTATATTGATCAATGATTGTGAAGCATCAAGTCTGCATGATTAAAGGACTGTCAGCAAACATCAATGTGCTGCTGCTTCAGGAGGTAAGAATATGAAGAAGTTTAACTAGAACTTATAAATATATGTTCTTAATATAAATTCATAATATACATTCTAGACTAAATGATCCTGAGGTCAGATTGGTTGATGAAGGGTTGTTTGTAATCCAGCTAAAAACAAATGGCAATCATGCTCCTGAGAAAACTGTTGGGGAAACATGAAAAATATCTATTTACTTCTAAACATTTGAGAATTATTTTTTTATATTTAACATTGTCAAGATTATACTCACCAACGTTCTTACCTCTATCCTACTAGAATCATATCCTATTGAAGGTACCAATTTATAACAGCTGGAACTCGAAGGCCATTGTCAGAATGATAATAATAATAAAAATGACTAATAAAAACTAACTTTGAGTAGTTTCTTTAGGTGGATTCCCAATGTGGAATAGATAATTAGATTGTACTTGTGTTTGAAATAATTAAGATTTTTTGTTTTGTTTTTGATATTTATATAGTCTATAACATTTATATAGTCTGTATATATTTTAATATCCAGTCTATATATATATATATATATATATATATATATTCCAATGGTAAATGGCTATTTTAAATTGTAATATTTCACAATATTACTGTATTTACAGTATTTAAAATTATTTGCTTGGTGCATGACTTCTTTCAAAAACCTTTAAAAAATCTTAGGAAATTATTCCAACACTCTTTTTTAATTTGAAAAACATTTAGCTTGACAAAAACACAATGTGATATGTCCAAACACATTAAATCAGTGTTTCCCTACCCTGCTCCTTGAGGCACACCAACAGTGCACATTTTGGATGTCTCCCTTTTCTGACCCATATATTTCTGGTCTTGGAGGCTCTACTAACGAGCTGATGAGTTGATTCAGGTGTGATCCATTAGGAAGAGTTGAAAAATGTGTAGTGTTGGTGTGCCTCCAGGAACAGGGTTGGGAAACACTGCCTTAAATGACCAAAATATACCCCTAGATATTAACTTTTCTCCAAATATAAAAAAAAAAGCCTGCTTTACTCCAACTGCATAGAAGACACAGTAGCCAGCACTGTGACAGATAAAAGCAACTAACGCTGGTAACTGCTCAACCAAAACACCAGATGGCAGTACTTCCCAAAGGTCTAATCTGGGTGGACCAGTAAAAACCTACAAATTCTGGATTAGAGCAGTTCAAACCAGCCAGAAAAGGTTCCTAAATGGGACCTCAGACAGTACTACAAATTCAACAGAAAAGCCAAGCATGATTTGATTTCTTCCTCTCATCTGTTGTAAGGCCACGTTCAGATACATAAAACAATGACATCTAACATTCAGAAAGAGCAACTCTGATTTAGCTTGAATTACAATAGTAAGACAAAAGGCACAAGTTCAATTAGATCAATTAACAAAAGCAGCCGTCAACATCAAATACTGCAGCTCACATCTTTTTCTCTCTAAAGCCACTCAATAAAAGGTCCTGTGCCTGTTTGGGTTACTTCGAGATTTCTTAAGTAGGAAAAAAAAAAAACTTGAGAGTTGTGAGAATACTCAAATACTTTCACCCATGTAGTGTGCACCTAACAGAGCCCTTAGACAAGGAAGTGACATCGTTAAATCGGTCCAAGAGCTCCATCTGATTAGATTCCAACGGCCTGTGCTCCTCACAACCTCTCAGCGGTGTGATTTAATGTAAAGTTCGAGTAAATACGTAACACTGTTCCACATTAGAGATCTCCGTCCTCATCAACCCGTGATCCATGGCCATTACAGAGAAAAGCCTCCTTCTCCGGGGTCACACTGTCCCTGTTTAGACCGCAGGCTGGTTTGTACACACTCAGTTCCTCGTCCATACTGGAATGGGCCAGTGCAGCTTCAGTACTGTGCCAGATTCCATAGCCAAAGTAGATTACGAGTCCTGGAGAGAACAGAGGGATAATGGAATAAATTATTGACCACATACATGCCAAGTGCTTTCCTGGAGGCCATTCATAATCGTCAAATGACCGTAGTCGGACCACTTTTCAAAAAAATTCTGGACAAGCATACTGGTTCGTGAAGGAGCATGTACTGTACCTATAGACATCCAGATGGCGAATCGTATCCAGGTTCCCCTGTCCAGCTGCATCATCAGGTACACATTGACAAACATGCTAACCACCGGGAGAAATGGAAGCAAAGGAACCTGTTGGAAGATGTGAAGAATTAGTACTGTAATTAAAAATGATTGAAATGCCAGAATTACAGCTTATAAGAATGCCTATGATAACGAATTAGAAAAATCTTTTGAAAATATAGTCTAAAAAACACATGGCAAGCTCTTAGAAATGTCCTCTATGTATTCATGTTAATTCAGTGTTACTTCAGTTTTATTATTTTTATATTTTGAGTTTTCATATTCCTTTTAGTTGAAGTTTAGTGATTCTGTTATGTGCTTTTTAGTCATTTTATTACTTCAACTTTAACTTATTTCAGTTAGTTACCAAGACAACATTTTAAGTTTTTCCTCTATATCTTATATTTTATTTAAAGGACAAGTTCGGTATTTTACACTTAAAGCCCTGTTTTAAGATCGTTTCTGATGAAATAGAACGGTTAAGATTGAAATTTGGACACATGCTGCTGGCCCGAGAATTTTCGGTTTCTGTGGTTGCACCCCCCCCACCTCCACAATGGTTGCATAGGTGCACTGAAACAATCCTTCATATAACGCATTAAACTTTAGTTTACAAAGACGTGAAACTCACCGAGTGGTCTGGGGGTGTTCACTGATAAGCTCACACAAAAATCGCTGCAAAAGATGCTTTCCAAGAGGTTTTATCATAGTTTTTGTCCAACTCCATTGACTTGACTTGGACAGAAACTACGATAAAACCTGTTGGAAAGCATCTTTTGCAGCGATTTTTGTGCAAATTTCAATCTTAACCGTTCTATTTCATCAGAAACAATCTTAAAATAGGGCTTTAAGTGTAAAATACCGAACTTGTCCTTTAAGCTTTAATTCAGTTACCAAAAACATTTTTAGCAAGGTTTAGTATCAGTAACACTGGATGGTTTCATGTGGTTTTTTTTTTTTTTTTTAAGGTCATATCACAAATTATAAATTCATAAAATTCTTAACGTGTTTGGAAGTCATACAACACAGCATTACATTTTATGATATTTTAATAGACTTAAGTATGGAAGCTTGTTTCCGCCACCGAATGAAAAATATAAAAGGCAATTGCGACTTTTTATCTCACAATTCTGACTTTTTTTCTCACAATTGGGAGTTTACATCTCGCAATTCTGACTTTATTTCTCAGAATTGCGAGATATAAAGTCAAAATTGCGTGATATAAAATCGCAATTGCGTGTTACAAAGTCAGAATTGCGAGATATAAAGTCAGAATTTATTGATATAAAGTCGCAATTGCAGGTTATAAAGTCAGAATTGCGTCATATAAAGTCGCAATTGCGTGTTGTAAAGTCAGAATTGCGTGAAACAAAGTCTCAATTGCGTGTTATAAAGTCAGAATTGCGTGATATAAAGTCAGAATTGCGTGATATAAAATCGCAATTGTGTGTTATAAAGTCAGAATTGCGAGATATAAAGTCAGAATTTATTGATATAAAGTCGCAATTGCAGGTTATAAAGTCAGAATTGCGTCATATAAAGTCGCAATTGCGTGTTGTAAAGTCAGAATTCCATGAAATAAAGTCGCAATTGCGTTGTTATAAAGTCAGAATTGCGAGATATAAAGTCAAAATTGCGTGATATAAAATCGCAATTGCATGTTTCAAAGTCAGAATTGCGAGATATAAAGTCAGAATTTATTGATATAAAGTCGCAATTGCAGGTTATAAAGTCAGAATTGCGTCATATAAAGTCGCAATTGCGTGTTGTAAAGTCAGAATTGCGTGAAATAAAGTCGCAATTGCGTATTATAAAGTCAGAATTGCGTGATATAAAGTCAGAATTACGTGATATAAAATCGCTATTGCGTGTTATAAAGTCAGAATTGCGAGATATAAAGTCAGAATTTATTTATATAAAGTCGCAATTGCAGGTTATAAAGTCAGAATTGCGTCATATAAAGTCGCAATTGCGTGTTGTAAAGTCAGAATTGCGTGAAACAAAGTCGCAATTGCGTGTTATAAAGTCAGAATTGCGTGATATAAAGTCAGAATTGTGTGATATAAAATCGCAATTGCGTGTTATAAAGTCAGAATTGCGAGATATAAAGTCAGAATTTATTGATATAAAGTCGCAATTTCAGGTTATAAAGTCAGAATTGCGTCATATAAAGTCGCAATTGCGTGTTGTAAAGTCAGAATTCCGTGAAATAAAGTCGCAATTGCGTTGTTATAAAGTCAGAATTGCGAGATATAAAGTCAAAATTGCGTGATATAAAATCGCAATTGCATGTTTCAAAGTCAGAATTGCGAGATATAAAGTCAGAATTTATTGATATAAAGTCGCAATTGCAGGTTATAAAGTCAGAATTGCGTCATATAAAGTCGCAATTGCGTGTTGTAAAGTCTGAATTGCGTGAAATAAAGTCGCAATTGCGTATTATAAAGTCAGAATTGCGTGATATAAAGTCAGAATTCCGTGATATAAAATCGCAATTGCGTGTTATAAAGTCAGAATTGCGAGATATAAAGTCAGAATTTATTTATATAAAGTCGCAATTGCAGGTTATAAAGTCAGAATTGCGTCCTATAAAGTCGCAATTGCGTGTTGTAAAGTCAGAATTGCGTGAAATAAAGTCGCAATTGCATGTTATAAAGTCAGAATTGCGAGATATAAAGTCAGAATTGATTGATATAAAGTCGCAATTGCGTGTTATAAAGTCAGAATTGCGTGATATAAAGTCGAAATTGCGTGTTGTAAAGTTAGAATTGTGAGATATAAACTATTCTGAGGGGAAAAAAAGTTAGTCTTTTTTCCCCCTTAGAATTGGCCTGATAACTCGCAATTGCGAGCTTATATCTCACAATTCTGAGAAAAGATGTCAGAATTTCGAGATATAAACGCGCAATTATGTGTTATAAAGTCAGAATTGCGAGATGTAAAGTCGCAATTGTGAGAAAAAAGTCAGAATTGCGAGATAAAAAGTCGCAATTATTTTATTTTAATTTTTTTATTCAGTGGCGGAAACAAGCATCCATACTTAAGAGACTTTTTTTTTTTTTTTTTTTTTTTTTTCATGTTGACTTTATCACATTACTTTATTGGTCACATTACATGACTGATTTGGCAAGAAAAAAACATTCAAAAACAATATATTCTTCATTGTAATATCAGGACAGTTGTATCACCCTGAAATATTTTAAAAAAATAAATAAAATAAAACACACACACATTTATTTATATATACACACACACACACACACACACAGAGAAATTAAAAATGTGCTTGATACAAAAGAGGTCCATTCAAGTAATTGCATGGATGAATACCATTTTTCATATATTTCTGGATAAATTCATATAGATCTGGACAAAAACATCTGACCCGACATAATAACATAAAACATAGTATTTCTCTCATTGTGTTTAATAGTTAATTATCAACATTCGATTGAATGAAACTAACTCTATAAATAGTAAATCTACCTCTACAAGAGCTGTTTTTATTGGGTGTGACCACATCCTGGTACTCTGTTAGATGTGCATTTGTATTACGCCTTGAGGTCTAACCTTAAAAGAGAGCTTGGTTTTACTCTCAGGTTGTCTCCAGATGATAAACGTGATAATGACGCACAGGCTGACCAGGACACTGAGAGTGACAATATTCCACACTGCAGTTCCGCCCAGGACAGCCAACAGACTGAAGCTAAGGATCAGCATACCTAGAAGAGACGCCGTTTAGAAACCTCCAAAAAACAACTGAACAAAATCATAAATCCCTAATAAAACCAGGATCTGTCTTAATGTGGAATCGCACTGATTCATACCAAGCAGACTTGTGCAGATGTTAACGATGAAGCCTGACATGTTGGAGGGTTCAGTGATGTGGGGGAAGAGCATTGTTCTGAAGCTGAATCGCTCTTCTATGCCAGGAAGAATCCCCATGCTAGGCGTACTTATGGTCTCACTCATTTCCATTTCGTCCTGTGTGTTTGCTAAGTGATATATCTGAGAAAACTGTTCGGGCTGGTACCTGTAGATTACAACATTGTTTTATGGAAGCCTAATTGTAAATACACTGATATTTAAAATGCATTCATTTTATATGCATCTGCCAACCTGAGTACTAAAACACAGGCGGCGACCAGGGTGTAGGCCAAAAGAGTTCCTATAGACATCAGATCAACCAAGTCCTTCAGGTCAAACAGGAAAGCCATGATAGCTGCACAGGAAGGAAGAGGATCGGATATGGTCATCTGTTTTGAGGATAGTTTGATATTTATAATGAGCAATTTAATAAGGTTTCAAAACTATATCTACTGTGTAGAGAACATGCATGTTTTGTTTAGGTCAACATGAAATTAATACTTATTTCAAGGAAAAAGAAAATATAACAATTACATAAACATTATTCCCAAGAAATACTCCTAAAAATGCATTAGTGTCTTGTTTGTCAGCAAAAAAAATTTTTTTTTAAATGCAGTCAAGAGACAATGCTCATGGATTATCAACATGTTTAAATTTCCATTTGTAATTTTAAATAGATATTGTATAAACATGTGAAATTAAAGAAACCAGCACTTTCCACAAATAGGGTATAAAATCATTTCATCACATTACTTTTTTTAACCCTAGAATGCATAAAGAGGGTTTTATAAATATTTTATCAATAAAAAATATTTTTATTTGATATTTGATTAATTAAAAACAATTCTGACTCTAAATGTAATTTTCATATTTCCTTGTCATAGAATAGACATTTTTTATATCACTACCCGAGACTGCATAAAGGGGTTCACAATTACCCGTATTTATGTTTCTTAACATAGTATATATTTTGATATGTTTTTGATAATAATAATAATAACAAAAACATTGATTTATGAAATGTTCTGTCTATCTGCAAAGAGCATTTTCACATTATTTGAGGGGAGAAATGTGGGGAGTGAAATCTTGATGTTTTTTGGTTAATGCGTTCTAGCCAGGGTCCGAAATTAACTTTTTGGCTCACCTGCCACAGGGACTGGTAGATGAAAAAATACACCAGCCAAGCATATTTTTTACCGGCCAAAATAATAAACAGCCTTTTTGTGTCACATATACATTAATTTATATATAGGCTATATTTAAACATTTTTGTCATATTTCTGGTCTATTATTTTCCATTTTTACTTTTATTTACACACAAATTACACAATTTACACACATTAATTATTTTTTTTTGTGGTGGTGCCTATATGAAAATAGTTCTATACAAATTAAATGTATTAATTGTATATTTAATAACATATATGCAATAATAATATATTATAATTATTTCAAAAAAATATTTAGTTTTACTCTGCCTATTTTTTTTTTTACTCCATTTACTCTGACTGATCCGATCAGTAACTGAAGGACTGGAAATATCAGTTGTTTTAAAATATATCCGAATGCTCCACATGAAACTATGGTCTTCCGACCTTTTACCATCGTGTCGATTTATTTTGATTAATATGTGACAAGGAGAGAGAGCAAGACAGCGCTAAGAGAAAGAGTGAGCGCGCGCGACCGGCCGGGGCTCTCTCTCTGCTCGTTCTTCAGTTGCGCCCTGTCACACGCACTACCGTCGTCTACATTACTCACAGATCAAATAAGACTATGGCGGGACAAAAATTCGCTTTGGAGCAGGAGCATCGATAAGAGGACACGTTAACGTTAACTCGTTACATTACTATTTTGGTATGAACATTCACCCGCCAGTGGGGCGGATAGCCTTTTGAGATTTACTCGCCAAACGGAAAATCTACCCGCATTTGGCGCTTGGCGGGTGTTAATTTCGGACCCTGGTTCTAGCGTTAAAAGTTAAGGCAAAAATACAGACAACTATCAGATATTCTATAACAATATGAAATATAAAATGTATTAAAATTAAAATAAAATTCAATATAAACAAATTCTAATATTTGGTCAAATTATATTTAGTTTTAGCATTCCTTTCTGAAGGCTAAATGCCTCCTTGGAAAATAATAATGATAATAATAAAAAACTATCATCCCCCCCAAGTGTCATTAGTACCCTATTCATGGAAAGGGCTAAAAGCATAAGCAATTAAAATCTTTAAATGGATGAAACGGAAACAAAACTATAAACAATGTCAATAGAGTCTTTAGTATAGCAAAACTGACGTCATGGTATCACCTAATGTTTGCACAATAAAACAAATAGTTCAAAGCAAAGTCTGTCTTACAGGCTTTTATTCCAGGAAACTACTGGAATCATTTTTAAAAGAAAAAAAACATTAATAATTCCAATTACATGTAACTGCTCCATGTTTGTCTTATAAACAGTGAGTTTCCAACCTCCTCCCTATAGATATGTACAGGCTGGTGTTTCTAACAGCAACAAAAGCAGCCCACTGGAGCTGAGCCCTGCATTCCCACAATGCCTTCCTCTGCTCTTACCAGCAATGACCCCGGAGGCCAGAGTGGACACGATGGGCGTCTTCTTCTCGCTCACCCGTGCCAGAAACGAGAAGAGCAGACCGTCCCGGGCCATGGCAAAGATTATACGTGGGAGGGGGAACAAGGACCCCAAGAGACTGATCATGGAATGATCAAAAAAAGAAAGAAAGCAGAACAGAAAATAGAAGTAAACACATAAGCCAACTGGGCAGCTGCCAGAGATTGTGTCCAAGGCAGAAAGTGGATAAATCCAGTAAAAAAACAAACAAAAAAAAACTGTTAAATGCCATCGTAGTTTTTGGGGCCTGGCAGCGTCACCTGGCCCATGCCAGCTAGGTTCAGTGTGATGAAAATTTAGTTTTTCCATGCAACATGCTCCAGTGGACGGATGCACGATACCGCAAACGTAACGCGACGTCAGTAGATTAGTAGCATTAAAATTCGTTCTCACCTGCGACAAAGCCTGCTGTTATAGTGGCAGATAAGGGTGTTTTTGTTCTCTCGCTGATCCCAGCCATGAATTTGAAGAGCAGGCCATCGTCAGCCATGGCCCAGATGACACGGGGCATGGGGAACATGGCGCCAAGCAGGCTGTCGCGAGAGATGGAGAAAACAAACCATGCCATGCAAAAGAGAGACACAGACATAGTGCATTCATACACTGCTGTGGTGTTATTATAAGATAGATATATGCCACAAATAGGCCACCCCCACCAATCAGAAGAGAGATTAGACCACCAACACAAAGATAAAATATTTGCAAGAGCATAAGGATCAATCTCTTGGCATTCAAGAGTGAATTTTGAATGATGATTTTAATGGTGAAGCATGTAATTTCTGAAGCACTAGTGGTAACCAAGTGGCATTGCAAAAATAATGATTGTTTCCATATGCGTCTACCACCCCTTCCGCCTTAGATGAAAACTCAAACAAACAGTGCAATGTTTTGAAAGCGCCACATAGCCACAGCGTTTGCTCTTCGGGGAAATCAGCCAACAAATACACACTTCTAATTTGACTGGCTGGTATTACACAACTTCTGGGATTCGGCCAGTTTTTTAACAGTCCGCTCAGTGTTAAGACCTGTTCACAACAAGAATGATAACTATAAAGATAACGATTACAATAACTATATTAGTGTCCACACCAACAGACAATATTTCCTCTGTAAAGATGAAAACGTTATCGAAACGATTCCCCTTCACACGGATCCGCGGAAAGACTAAAAACACTGTATTATGCATCCAGGACAAGTAATTGGCAATGTCACTTTGTAAAGAAAGACTACGCACCCGCGCACATAAGCATTCAGACGTGTATGCCTATAGGGTAAACACATAATACACACATGTGCATGCGGTCAACGTTTTTACAGATTCACGTGTTTTGGGTGTAACTGTTTATAACCAGGGTTCTAAATTAACTTTTTTGATCACCAGCCAATGTGGCTGGTAACTTTCTAAAGTTACCAGCCATTTAGAATTTCCACTAGCCAAATTTTTTCCGGTGAAAATAAGAGAAATTATGAGTGCCACTGAATGCATTTGATAATTTTATTAACATTGTTGGCATGAAAAACACATTTAAAGTACAATACAAGACAGAAAGTGCAAACATTTCATTTCAAGTTTGGGATCTATCTCTATTAGGGATGTGCACGAATATTCAAATTTTCGCTCTGTAATTATTATTAAAAAAATAAAACACTAATACTAATACTTTTTTTCTTCAATTTTTTTTCGCAGTTATAATTAAATGCACTGGGTGGAGCATTTAACAAGTGGATTGTGTTTTTGATCACATAATGTCGTTGTCTGCCTTGCGAAGTTTGGAATTACTTAGATGAAAATGATAGCCTATTACAAAATGGAATTACGTTTAATCAATTATTAATTATTATTATTATCATAATATCACCACCACAATGAGAAATCACATGAAATCCAAAGAAACAGCAGTCGACTGAGGAAGCAGCTGTCCATCACTGCATTAACGACTGCAGGTCAGCAGCTGTACCCCGATATCTTCTGGTAGCAAAATTATTTTGACATATGCTTCCTTTAAGTTTCGTTGAGGGAGACAGGTTTAAGAACAGAAAACGCAAAGTGCTGTTACTTCACTTTCCACACACACACACACGCGCGCGTCTCTGCAACGCCTGTGTGTCAGCGCAGCGCGTTTTCTCACTCGAGCATGTGGATATTATTGTTTTTCTCAACATGAACGTGAAACAATATAAACACGATAATCATATGCTGACTCGAGTATGCTGACTACGTTCTGTACGATAACTGCGCAGTCTGCTTCTTTTTTTTTTCTTTTTTTTCCCGTTTGCGCTGCTTGAGCTTAAATGCTTTTGTTGTTTATATATTTTGTTTACACATATTGTTTAATGTTTTCAACTAAAAGAAAACCTTAAGATATATAGTAAGCTTGTTGTGTATAGGCTATTGCCAAATGTATAAGCTTGTAAGAAATAATGACAAAAACCTTAAACTTAAAAAAAATAACGTAGGCTATCTCTCGTTAAACGACATTTAAATTTAAACCCAGAAGTCTGTCCCAACCACCGCCGCATTCAGTTTAATCTAAACTTTTTACTTTAGCTACTTTACTAGCTTCCTCCTCTTTCAGTCTGCTCCCTGCTCTGGCTCGTTCTTCATCTTCCTTGTGTTTTCTGGTGGACGGACGCGTACGCTCCGTTTGTTTCCATGATCATTTCTCGAGCTGGTTTCACTGCAAACTGCGCACAGCCAATGGGCGTATGAAACGTCATCACGTAGCATTACGGCACAGTGTTTATGGGAAATGTAGGAAGTACTGCCAGGGGGATAAATGACCGAGAACAGAACCTTATGCATCACCGGCCAAACTGGCTAGTAAGTTTTTATTATCACCCGCCAAAATGAATTTTAACCCGCATTTGGCGGGTGTTAATTTAGAACCCTGTTTATAACGTATCGCTTTTAACAGAATCGCTTTAAACCCCCATTTAACTTCAAAGTTTGCATTCTCAGGCCAACGGTGTCGTGTAAGCGGCCCCTAAGTTAATAACTAATGATTTTTACAACGGAAATGAATCAATCAAAGACTTACTTAAGCTAGACGATGACTTTCTTCTAGAGCTGCTGTACAGCCAAAACAATCTTTGTTGCATTAATTTCCTATTATCACTGTAAAGCTGCTTTATATGCTCAAGCTCTTTAAAGTTGAGTGAATATCAATATTTTTATCGTTCGTCAACAAAGTGATTCCAACGATATTGTTCCTCTGTGTCTTTATTTTTTATAGATGTGGTATGGACTTTATCTATATAATGATGACATTGATGACAACTATTGGTTCGATTTTGTATTCTCCTCAACTAAAATATTACTTTTGTCAACTAAAATGAAATGCCCAAAATGAGGAAATATTGACGAAGACAAGTTTATTAGCAGCATTTAGTAGCAAAAAAACAGATACCAATAAGCATAACTATATATTCAGCTTTTTCAATAATGTCTGTGAAAGTTTTTTGTTTATTATGGTATCATGTAGATAAATGGTTTCATCAGATAAATCTACAAGTAAAACCTAATCATACACATTGGTCGAACAATATGACCCTGTCAAAACGGGCAGTCCTTAGGTAGGTTTTTGAACATAAAATTACACACTTCACTTTTGAAGAGATTCCAAAATAGTATTTTAATATTGAAAATATTGCAATAACTGGAAGCCAAAGAGAAAAATGCCAAAAATTCTACTTCAACTGAGGTTTTCATTAGTGTGATAAGTTTCATACGTTAGGTGGATTGTTAGAAGGATGAGAGGTTTAGGACTTGGATAGATCATGCAGAAGACATCTTCCCTTTATAGATTACACACAATTCATGCTTCATAGTACAAACAACATGGTGCATATGCATGTAGGTCATAACTATGAGACTAATTGTTGCCTGACTTTTATGGACAGAAAAAATGTAGCATGAAGGCTTAATTCCACTCATGGCCTGGACTGAGAGTGTTGCATAACTGAGAAACAGGATTCATAACTCAGCACACCAAATTTCCTTTCGTATTTTTAGCAAGGGGCTCATATGAGCTGCCTCAGATAAATATATACACACACCATCACGCAATTTAGTCCCGGACTGCACTCTCTCAACCTCCCTTGGGTTGTCAGAGTTCACTTAGTAAAATTTAATGATTGGATTGGTCAACTTCCTTAAGGTTGTACTATCAAAATGACGGAGGTCTTTTAAACAGCAACCAGGCTTGAGGGTAATTACATCCATTCATTTCAGGGAACATGGGTAATTATTCATTTCAAGTACATTTTTAGTGTTCTACCATGCAGGGGCTGGTTTACTCTAAACTGGGCCAGTGTTTTAAAACGACTCGTAGGATCAGTGCTTACCTGGTGGACAGGGCGCAGAGGGAGCCTACCGCCACAGCGTACGTGGCTCCTTCCCAGCCAACGTACTTAAAGGCTGCAGGAAGAGGGCTGTTTTTATCCAGCATGTAATATGGCATCATCATGGTGAGGGCAGCCGATACACCAAAGTATGCCACAAAGCAGATAAGGAGGGAGGAGACGATCCCGATGGGAATGGCTCTCTGGGGGTTCTTCACTTCTTCACCTGTGATATGGAACAGGATATTGTGAATAACAGTATTGAGTTATGGAAAATTGCATGTTGCAGGCTGGACTCGAACCTGCATCATCCATATGTCACCAATGCCCAATATGTCAGTAGCTAATTGCTCTATCACAGTACCAATAACATGGTCAGAGGCCATAAACAGACCTATGCCCAGACTATCAAATAACAAGAGTTCTTAGACAGTTTCCAAGAGAACATTAATGTAACAAGACACCCGTTTATTTTCAGCTCTTTACATTATTGATATGTGGGGATTTAATTTTGTTCCATCCTATCTCATTACATTACTGATCATTATTGTGTGAAATGGAAAACGAATTGGTTGTCTTTTAATTAGTGGCTCTACAAATACTATGGAAGTCTCCTTTAAAATTAGAAATGAAGTCACATCATTGTCAGATATTAAGCTTCAATTATGTTATTACACAAAATATAGTCACAATAACCTTTTTATTATGAAACAGGTTTACATAAAATACAGTATATGAATGTGCACAAAATCCACCATTTTCGTGACCTCTCATGAAATAGACGCTCAGCGCCTTGCCACGCACACTCCCATTGAAAACAATCGGAAAAATGATAATTATATTATAATATTATAAATTATATTAGAAGGATTTCTGAAGGATCATGTGACACTGAAGAATAAATAAAATATTTAAATATAAAATATAAATATAAAATATATTAAAATAGAAAAATCGTTATTTTAAACAGTAATATTTCACAATATTACTGCTTTTACTGTGTTTTTGATCAAATAAATGCAGCCTTAATGAGAATAAGAGACTTATCAAAAACAAAAGAAATCTTACCAACCCCAAATTTTTGAACAGTAGTGAACATCAGACTTACATTAATTCAACTACATTTAATTGTGCCATTAAGAAGCCTTGTAGTTAGAGAATGCCTCGGCTGCTGCAGTGAGTAGTGTGAGGCTGTGAGCATGTTCGCTTTTAGCAAAAGTTCCTGTGGCTTGACCTTGCGCAGGGCACTACATAAAACAGAGGAGTAGTATGTTCATGCCAGCAGTGGCAGAGAGAGCACAGGCACATGGGTAAATTAGCATTCCTGACCAGCGTGTAGATGAGGAGGGGTTACTCAATGTGAGCCACAGCTACAGGGAGGAAAACAAGTCCAGACAAACCCTGAAACACTCTAGCCAATCGAAAGCAAGGGAATGTGGGGGAGTGAGCCACCATAAAAGAGGGGGGCAGAGGCAAACCATAAGCAGAAATCCACTGAGAATATCCATGCAAGACGATTATAAACATAAAGGAAACTTTAAATAACCTTGACCAAAGCAACATGGACACAGGCCAAATATGTAGGTAACATAATAGCCTCACTGTTGTACCAATGCAGCACTTATTAAAAACGTTTATATGTGGAAAACATGGTTCTTGTGCAATTTAACCTCACTTGTGGACATGCATCATATATTTGACCTTTTCAAGTGAATTTCAGGAGAAAACGGGTGCCTTCTAACTGTACGTTCTCACTGTACGTTGACTTGAGCGTCAAAGAAGCTCTGGCCGCCCTGTCAAGGACGCTTGTCAAAAAGTACGGGGAAGCTGGTTGACGCTTTGAACACTTTGAACGCTCTGACGTTGCAGGGAGAATAGAAGTGTCACAACATGAAATGTAATAAACAGGAAAAAACAAGCAATACATTGAAGAAACCTTTTATAATGACAGCATTTTTATAACCGTTTTGGTCACATTTGGTCGGGAAAAAAAGGTTAGCTATTATTATTATTATTTGCATTAGGCTATAAATGAAATTGGTCAAATCGGTGTCACCGTGAGCAAATGAATTGCATTCCCGCTTTAAAACGAGCGTTCGTAAATATTTCATGCGGTCCCTATAAGCAAACAACGTCATGTCATAAATGATAGGAAATCTGTAGGAAACCCAGCAACGGCGATTATTAGCTTCTCTTCCATTTTCTCGGAACTAATGTTTTGGTAGGAACGAAAGTTTACATTGTATGTTTCTCCGGAATCAGCCAGCGCGAAGGACGTCTATATTCCGATTGGTTGCTGGCGTTTTGCCGGTGCTTGCCGCTGAACCGCGTCACAGCTCATTACCATAAAGTTGAGCTTCTTTCAACTTTCTGATTGACGCTCAAAACGCCCAAAACGCGACGCCAATGGATTTGATGCTCCTTGCAGCTGCGAAAAGCCAGCTTCCATTGAAAATGAATGACTTCCGGCCGCTTTGGAAGCTCAAGTCGGCGGCGGTGTGAACGTACAGTAAAGATTAGACATGAGATTTGAAAGCACTGGAGTTCAGAGTGATCATTAAGTACCTGTGGTGGCAATGCAGTCGAACCCAACGAAGGCGTAGAAGCAGGTAGCCGCCCCTGATAAGACCCCTGTGAAGCCAAAAGGCATGAACCCACCTTCACCCAGAATCTCTCTCGAAGGCAGGGGCTGTGTGGAACTGGTCACAGAGAGTAATATAGACATTTTTAACATGAATTTGAAACATAATTTAAAGGGGAAGTGTGTCTTTTCTATGACACTGTGAAGGGAATTGCAAATATGAAAACATACACTACCGGTCAAAATATTGGGGTCGGTAAGATTTTTTTTATCTTTTTTTTTATCATAAGTCTCTTATGACCATAAGTCAACTCTAAGATTGAATTTATTTGATCAAAAATACAATACAAACAGTATTATGAAGAATATTAAATACTTTTTAAAGTTAAATATTATTGCAATAACTAAATTTTGTATTTAAATATATTTTGAAATGTAATTTATTACATAATTTAATGTTTTTGAAAAAAAGCACACAGAGGCTGCAAAAATACAGTAGTAATATTGTGGAATATTATGATTAAAAATAACATTTTTCTATTTTAATAAATCTTCAAATGTAATTGATTCCTGTGATGCAAAGCTGAATTTTCAGCATCATTACTCCAGTTTTCAATGTCACATGATCCTTCAGAAATCATTCTAATAAACATTTCTTATTATTATCAGTAGCCATGTTTTCAGCCACATATTTATATGCAAATTTTGGGATATCGCATTAAAAAAAAAACGCTGGATAGATATGCCAAGATGCCATAAACTCTAAAAAATGGAAACATTGAAAACAGTAGTGCTGCTTAATATTTTGGAGAAAACATAATTCATTTTTTGATTCTTTGATAAATAGAAAGTTCAAAAGAAAAGTATTTATTTAAAATAGAAATCTATGAACACTTTTGACCAATTTAATGTGTCCTTGCTGAATAAAAGTATTAAATTCTTTAAAAATAAAATCGTACTGAGTCCAAACTTTTGAATGGTAGTGTACATCTACATAGGTCAAGCATTATTATTATTATTATCATCATCTCGTTGTCTTGAGATAATGTAGATATAACATGGTATTTGACAAGATTACACATCACAAAATAATAAACAGAGAGCTTCCCTGTGTTTGTAATTTCTTTTTTAAATTCTGTTCGATGATGATGGCATCACAGAAATTGCATACTCAAAAAACATATTCCAAGAACGTTTTCCAAAAGTCATAAAAACACGACTCACTTAAGGGTGGAACTGGTTCCGTTGAGAATCTCATCAGGGTCGAGGTGCCAGTTCTTCAGCGTACCTTTGACCAGGCCAGATATGACCATGAACAGGAGCACCAGAATGTTGATGCAGGTGAACACTTTATTGACCATGGCTGACTCCTTCACCCCGAAGGCCAGCAGGCCTACAGCAAACAAAACGTAGTTCAAAACACTACGGAGCAAAGTCAACACAAAGGGACGCTAAATATATACATTGAAAAAGCTTTCATTTTCAGAATGAAAATCACTGTTTTAAAATTAATATTTCATTTTTAAAAATGTGTTTCACATGTTTCGCAGTAGAAGACACACAACATGAAAATTACATAGCATATATATATAATATATATATAAAATATCATTATTTATAGCATTTTATGGCCCTCTGGAATACACAATTCTTTCAGCCATGGCTCCCTATGTAATTGGTGCTCTAGTCATGTTTTACCTGTAAGAGTGAGGATGATGAATACAGCAAATATATCTGGGTACTCCGCCAGAATGCCCGGAGCGTTCATGGACATGTGCTGACGACAGAAATGCTCAATATGTTTTCCAATCAGCTCATCAAATGTGGCACTCCAAGCTCGGGCAACGCTTGAGGTTCCTGAGAAAGTTTTACAGATTATGTAACATAAGACATAAAGAATGTAATGTAAAATGTAAAAACCTTCACTATACCTTGGTTTACAGACTCACATATACCAATTTGTGCCATCTTAGTTTTAGTTTAGAGGTTTCACAGAAATGATGACTACATTAACTTAAATAAAAAATAAAAAAACATAGTAGGCCCATAGGAAAATACAAAATTACTTGATCCAGTAACACTAACACTTTCTCTTCTACTCTATCTAAAAAAACAAACAAAAAAAACCTCATGGACTGCCTTAGATGAAACTGAGAGGGGTCATAGCACTTGCATATTGTTGTCCTACTGTTAGTTTAACTGCTTCTATTGTTCTCATTTGTAAGTCGCTTTGGATAAAAGCATCTGCTAAATGAATAAATGTAAATATACATGTAGTTGTTTGTGTGTCATCTCACCTATTACATATGAAAGTATAAGGTTCCAGCCAGTTATAAAGGCCCATAGTTCTCCTACAGTCACGTAGCTGTACAGGTACGCTGAGCCCGTTTTCGGCACTCTCGCCCCAAACTCTGCATAACAGAGGCCCGCGAGCACTGAGGCCATGGCCGCGATGAGGAACGACAAAACAATGGCCGGTCCGGAGTTTTCCCTTGCCACAGCTCCGGCGAGGACATACACCCCAGCTCCCAAAGTGCTTCCCACACCAAGAGCCACCAGGTCAAAAGTGTTCAGGCATCGGGAGAGACGCGATTCCTCCGAGTTGCAATTGACAACCTTCACCCTCAGCAGCTGCTTCCCGAAACGCAAAAGCTTTTTCAAAACCATCGCTGATTCGATCTGATGCCAGCCTCTTTTTGTGCGTGGTTTTATTGCTGTTTCACTCTCTCAATGTTTAGAATGTTGTTAAGAAGTGTAGTTTATCTGTGGGAAGAAAACACAAAGTAATGAATAAAGCTTATATATTTTGTCTAAGAAAGATTTACAATTTTTGCTTAAAATTCATTTCCACACAAAATACATTTCAAGAGATGAATCTAAATGCTTCAGCAATCATATAGCGGTTAATTGTTATACCTTCCCAGTTTGACCAAAGTAACTAGGCATTTTCCACCAGAGATAAGAGCAAACATTACGTCCTTTTCCTAAGCTCCAGGACACAAACCAGCACATTTGTGGGGAGGATAGCAGCTGTCAAGATTTTTAAGGGCCTAAAAACGTGCAGAGCACTGACACATAAACTTGTAGCTAAATAAAAATAAAAATAAACCAGTGTGTTTTTGATAATACTGCAAGAGAACTCTACGCTGTATTGTGAACCCCAACCAAACCTCTCTTGAATGAAAAGCACAATGGCCAAGATCAAGTGTCAAAATGTACTGTACTGTGTGTACAAATGGGCAGCAGCTCTCCAGTCAATAAGTTCATACAGCTGCACTGTCTCCAGTTTAAGTACTGAACACTTTTCCCAAGTGTTGAGTAACATAGAGAGAAATCCATAAAATGTGACTGGTGGCAGAGCTGGAGAGGCCCACTGGGGATAATCTATCATATTCACACGAACTGACATGTTACGCAACCGAGAGCGGATCTTAATGGCAAAAATACATGCAATTGCAAAAGAACAACTGGGATCTGTGTTCACAAGCACTGTGAGAACAGCCTGTTCTGAGAAGTTAATTTGATGCAAAAGAATCTCTCTATGTGAAGCTACCATCATACTACAGATGTATGTACAGCAGTAAATCTGCTATTTTTCTCACATAATAAAGGAAAAATACATTTCAGGAGTAACTAACTAAAAGTTGTCACTCTACTACATTTGTACGACAGCTCAGCTGATGTAAAAATAGTGCAGCTTTTTTAAGCCACCTTTTTTCCCAAGCTAATTTTGCACATGTATATAATTATAGTACAATAAAGTACTGTTTTTTGAGACATGTTATTGCAATAATCCAATAAAGAATAATAACTCTTCACGTATGGGAAGCACACTTCAAAAACTGCTCTGCTTAAGGTCTATGGTTTTAATCTAATCGTAGCTGGTTTAAGCTGGTCAACCAGTTGGTCCCTCAGTCTGACCCCAATGTCCCTAAACCAGTAAAATAGACCTGCATGACCAAGCTAGGAGATACAACTAGAAATCCAGTTTAGGCTGGTGTAAGCTATTTTTAGCAGGGCAATTGAGATCCTCATTGTTTTTGTCCTATGGATAGGCCTATTGATTACTCTGAGAACAAATACATTTAATTTAGTCAGCTAGATTTTGTTAGAAACACGTAGCATAGCTAATCACTTTTCTTTAAATAGTAGCTTGATTATAGTTTAACTACTTTAAACTATGGGTAACTTGAGAGGCTTTGGTTTGAAATTAAGTATGAGTCTATAAATTAAGCTACTGTGAATCATGACCCAGTTCTCTTTCTTTGTAGCTCCCATCTAAACAGCAAAGGGAACATAAGGAGTCACTTCCTGTCACACAAGGCACACTTAAATGGAAAGTTCCACAGACGTAGAGGTGGCGACCTTTTCTTTCTCTGCTCCGGGGCTATCGGATGTCTTGGATGTCATTAACATGGATCACACAACATGGAAGCAGGTTAGCAGAGTCACTCGAGCAGTACTGCACCTTTAACTGTTGTCATCTAAATCACGCAAGCGTGGCATGAGGGCCTGCCGCCTGACTGGAACAAACCTGTTGCTGAAACAGTGCAAACACAAGCTTTAGCCATATTCCGCACATCTAAACACCGGAAGTTCATTAAAAATGAGATTAGCAGTGTGACTGAGTTAAGACAACCAGAGTTTAAAGCTGTGCACAAGACCTAGGATCAGTAAAAAATCAGGTTTGTTCGGTTTACAAAGCTTTCAGTTTTCTCACCTAACCGCATTTTGCACTCATCTTATACATTTTTGACAAAAACCATTTCCTATCTTTGGTTTCTATCCTGACGTGAATCAAAGTAATCCAAGCACAAGCTGTTCCTGAGTTGGAATTAGAGCAAACTGCTCTAATGGTGTGACATCAGACTTGTTGAGATATATGTCTCTATGCCATGCTGTAGGAATGCAGAAAGACCACAAATGCTATGAAGGCATTTTGGATGAAATTTATAAGCAATGGTTAAATGGGATTGCAACATGGCAATTTCAAGATGAAGACCAACAAAGAATTGTAAACAATTTATGTCATACAGTAAGTATGCATACTTCAATTATCATTATAAACCTGAGGCTTTACTCACAAACATTGTTTTTTAGAGAGCACATGAAAAGCTCTGCTTAAATCTATTAGATTTTGTCCTTAACCCTACTAATCTCACAATGCCTCCTCAAGAGTTTCAGAACCGATTTCAAAAATGTCTCAATGTGTTGGAGTTTGCCAAGACCCTACAAGTCTGCAATCAAAAGTAGAGCAGTTGACAGCATTTCTACTACCGAGTTGAGTTGTCCTTTGCATTTTATCATGCTTAAATGGACAAATATACACCAAATTAAGTCCTCAATGTTAATCAAACAACAAAAGAAAAAGAGAAAATCACTCACTGCTCTTGACTACACATCTTTCATAGTTTAATAAGAATCAATATTTAATTTATACAGTGAAGACTATTTAGTGTTATTTTAAATTTGATTACTTTATGTAATTTTTGTACCTAAATGTTGTCGGACCAACCTGAAAATCAAAGCAGTTTATTTCATTTGTCTCTTTAAATTGTACTTATTTGTGCTGCTCGTAATTCATTTATTTGTTCTTGTTTTATTACTGACTGCTTACTTGTGTTTATTACTGTTTGAACTTTGTATTAGTTAGCTTAGTAGTTTTTGTTGTGGTATCGGAATGGAATTAAGAATTGCGAAATTTCACTGGTCTCAAAAATGTTAGTGTCGTATAAATCTTATTTATTAGAATACAATGTTGATAAGGGTCAAAAGCTACAGTGTCAGTCACACATGTGTGTGTGTGTGTGTGTGGGGGGGTACTTCTTTGTTCAGTCGTTTTAATGTAGTTAAATCATGGCCAAAATTACGGAACGAATAAAATCATGGGAGCGAATTAGAACAATGTGGCTATGATTTACCTAAGACAATTGAATTTGTTTTTTCATGGCATGTGCAGGCTCTGTAAAAAATAATGAAAACAATATGTTTTTTTTCTGGGAATCTAAACAACTGTAGAAAAAAATCTTTAGCATTGAACCTTGGTATGCCATCAACGTTAATTTCATAGCTTTACACACTTATTGTATGTGAAAACGTCTCAATTGTTTCTATTTTTAATCCTCCCAGGCATTTTCAGGAGAAATATCTGAGACAAAATTCATATTTAAATAAAACACAACCAAGATCTCCATTAGCATAGCATTTAAGTAAATCTTCTTCTCGAATGGCATCATACACTTTGCAGCACACTGTCCGCAGGAAACCATGTGGAAAAATCACATCTACATGAATCCACATAGCTTCATCTGACAGCAGGGTTGTGTAAGGTTAATAGTGCCATCATTTGACATTCCGGCTCAGTCAGGACGAGTGAGGTGACCATGGACACACGTAGTTTATCAGGCTAAATTAAGCAGGTGGGTAGAGCAGGGGTGTGGTGCCTGGGAACCAATCAGTGGGCGACTTTCTGTTATGGTGTTTTAGCCTTGGAATGCTTTTTATTTCATTTTTAATCACAACATATTAAATAAAATCCCATCAGCATGTGAACTAGGCATACTGATCCTACGCTAGCATCAATACGGGCTTGAGTACTGACGTCACAGACGTTTGGTGTATGATAACAACCACAACACAAGCCCCTTCTAGAAACAGCAAGGCTTCAGATAGGAAATAGGGTCATGGGCAGTGTCTACCCAGAAAGAAAATGAACATGTTTTATTGACACGTTTTTGTGAAGGTCTTTCCAATCATATGAGCATGTTTAGAGTGGGCACAATGTACCTGGCACCATCCGACTACCATTAGCTCAGAAACTTGTGACTGCTATTTTGCTTCGGAATGTATGTGACAAACATTCTTCAGTTTTAGTCTTTGGCAGGAATGTCTAAACTCATTTAGGGTGTACTCGCAGCCAACCGACGGTAAGAAAACACGCCCTCTACTGACCCATCTACTTCTATTTTATAAAACAGTCAACAAGAAAATGAAAACAAGTTTGGTTATGAATAAATCCTTAAGCATGTCAAGGTATCACAATACTCTTTCACTCAAATAACTCAATATTATAAGAAAACAAGCTTTTTCTCTTTTTTTCTTATTTTTTCTTCTTAAAGTCTTGGGCCTTGTTGTTTATAATGGCAACATGAAGTTTAACTCAATGGCTTAAAACAATTAAATCCGTGTCTCGTCCTCCAGAAAAAGACCAATGACTGTTTAAAAAGGACGACACACGTGAGATGGGAGGGCAGCCAAGGTGGACAGAGTCTCAGCTGTCTGTCATTGGGAGGAAAGCCAGTTCTCTACCTGGGACACTGTCTACTAACCTTCCCATGAACACGAAGCACGTTCTATGTAGACAGGCCATAGTTACACTAACGAGACATGCAAAAGACTATCAATTAAAAGGTTGAAGAGGACATGCACTCAGATTAGATTTAAAGTTACCCTAAAATGAAAATTCTGTCATACTATACTCACCATCAAGTTGTTCCAAACCTGTATGAATTTCTTTCTTCTGCTGAATACAAAAGAAATATTTTGAGCGGTAACCAAATGGTTGATGGGCCCCATTCATTGACTTCCATAGTATTTTTTTTCCCATTCTATGGTAGTCAATGAGGTTCATCAACTGTTTGGTTACCGCTATTCTTCAAAATATCTTCTTTTGTGCTCAGCAGAAGAAAGAAATTCGGTCACACTTTAGATTAGGGTCCAATTCTCACTATTAACCATAACTATTAACTATGACTCAATAAACT